GGAGTGGGGGTGCGCCAGGAGATATATATCGGGAGGAGTGGTGGGATGGGAGTCTCGTGAGTAAAAAAAAAAAAAAAAAAAAGGACTTGGCCGCTGACGGGACTTTCCTGGGACTTGGCCGCTGACGGAACTTTCCTGGGACTTGTTCCCTTACAGGACCCACTGACAAAAGAAGATGGGACTACCAACTTCTACGGACTTCCACCGACTTTTTTTTTCCTTACCGGTACTTTCCCGGGCCTTTGCCGCCGACAGGACCCACTCACACAAAAGGTCCTACCTAGTACCTCGCTACTTTCTACCGGCTTTTCCTAGCTTATCGGTACCTACCGGAATCTTCCTATGTCGTCGGCCTACTGCCAGCAAACCTACCTGGGACACAGGCATATGGTAAAGGTGGCTGGGACTGGGACTGGGACTTGGGAGGGGGACCAGGCTGCCCGCGGTCAGATGCTTTCTCCTTTTTTTTAAAGCTATGTTCTTCTCTCAATTTCACCTCACACTACCTACCTACCACTAGTCCTAATTGTAGGCATACGGGGAACCCCGTAGCAGCCATAGGTTTGACATTTTCAATCGCGTTAACAAAATGCRTGATTACATTCATAGACAAGTTCTCATTAGCTAGACAATAGAAAGTTTTATAAACAATAGCACGAGRTTTTGTTTTTTTCCCATGAATCATACAAATGTTGATAAATTTGTGTATCRATTGTTGTACCTTGCAATTMTCTARAATCAAAGGCTCGAAGAGCGAGACTTGTGAGATTTTTCGGTTCATATTTCAATTTGGGKTTTTTTGGTACCATATTTTGATCTGCCTCGACGTCGATTAGGAATTCCTTGTAAGTCTTTCACTCCTAGAACCGTGTTCACGAGAGAACATGAGGGGGCTGCTCCCGACCTGCAGGTGGCCGATACCAGCTAGGGAACAGCCAGTAGCATCAGGGACCATGCCAACAGGACCAATCCCTGTGCCTCCCCTCAGGTCCCCTCCCCTACGAACATCAGCAAACTCTGCTCAATGCCTATCGGGGGATCCAGTGGTTTATCTCTAGGTGGCGGGCACCAAGCATGCCCAGGAAGGTACGTGAGGCCAATGGGAGTTGAACCCACGACCTCCTGAATGCCACTTGCGTGCCTTACCAACTGAGTTAGGCCGCTGGATGGTCAGATGCTTTCAACAAGCATAAATCAAGAAAGAAAAAAAAGGGAAAAAAAAGATCGTTCGGATTGCCTGCCTGCAACCAGCTCAATTTCCGGACACAGCAGAGAAAACCTCGCGCTTGCCTCGAAATTCGGTGAGTGCATCTTGCGTGCCCTGTCGGTTTGCTCGGGGGCCAAGTCCCACATACACCGTTGAGCCAGTTCAACGTTGAACTAGCTCAATGTGTGTGACCCAATGCAACGTCTGAGATGGATCGAGAGCTGCACATCCAGCGGTTGTTCTTAGGTGTATAAAATACAAAGACTTTCGTTTTTGTTTTTTTTTTCAAGAAATGCGCTGAAAAATCCCTCCGCCCTAATATAACACCCACTACCCCTACCCCTACCCTGCCCATCTTCCGTTGAACTACACCCCCCACTTGGAGTGGGGTGGGTATGGGTTCGACGGAGCTTGTGCCATCATGACCTTTCTGTGGGAGGACACTCCGACATTCTTTGGGAGGACACTCTGACAGAGAGTGTTCATGCTGTGTTTGGCTGTGCAGCCCAAACTGGTTTCTGCAAATGCACCAAGCCAGGCGTACTGTCTACGTTCATTTCATGTTATAGTGAGTCCCTGTTTCCGACGTTGCCTAGTATGTGGAGCCTTTCACTGAGAATTGTTGTATTTTCCATTTTACTTTTTAGAAAATACGGACAAAGATTCAGTAGCATAATACTAGCATTTGGTTATTCATTGTTTTTTGGGAAATAGGGGAAAAATTTCCGAAAAAAAGCTTTCAGCAGCATTTGATTCTCATTTTTTCACGTTTTTTGCCTTCGTTTCGAGTTTTCAAGTCACAAAAACCGTGTCACACCGTTGCGTTGAGCTAGTTGAACGGTGCATGTGGGACTTGGACCCGGGAGTGCTACCAAACCCTGCTGATGTACCTGTGGCAAGTCTATGGGCAGGTGCACCGGGTTCGCGGGTTCCACATGGCCACACTGCATTGCTGGGGAAGTCGCAGTCCTACCCGTAAGAGATGTTAAAAAAAAAAAAAAAAAAAAAGACGTTTTTGAGTGCAGTGTCAAAATGGCAGGCACTCTCGACAGCGATTTTTCATTTCAACTTCATCCGTTTGAGATTACTCTCTTCTTTTTTTTTTCTTTTTTTCTTTTTTTTTTTTTTGGGGGGGGGGGGGGTTATCGCATCAGAAATATAAAGACAGAAGGGCGGCATTTTTTTTATTTTATTTTATTGGGTGGAAGGGTGGCAAATTTTAAATGCCCCCACGTTGGCACTTTTTTGGTGCTCGTCACTTTCGGCAAAACATTATTAAGCCACCAGTACATCTGAGCCCCTTTTTCCCATCGCAGAATTTTTATTTTTTTTTGTTTTCCCATCACAGATTTCTGCTGTGCGCCAAGTCTAAAACGAACTGGGGTCCTTCGGGACGTCCAGAGAGAGAAGATTAGCATGGTCCCTGCGCAAGGATGACACACATAGATCGAGAAATGGTTCAAATTAATTAAAAAAAAAAAAAAAAACGAACTGGGGGCCTGGGAGGCTGGGACACAATTTTTTTTTTTAACGTTCTGGCTTTCACTGCCAGCCAAAGGGGTCCAATAGGCTGAGCCCCAAAAAAATGTGCTGGTGGTAAACTTGTTGGTCACAAAAGTTTGCCTGGGAGAGGTATTGATGTTTTTTTTTTAATTGTGAATTTACTACGTAGACATTAGAAAAATAATAAAAAATCCAAGTACTCAGAAAACAATAAAATATGGCCTTAGACACTGTCGTTACTTGATGGGGGATGGGAGAAGTGGATGGCAAGCACAGCTACTTGCAAAACGATCAGTCTTCGTGTTAGCGCCGCCCCCCCCCCCCCCCTCCCCCACCCCACGGAGGGGCCACTGGCAACCCCTCCCTACTCCATGACCACCGCCGGTTAGGGTGGGGCCCAAAATGGATCCCCTTGATTGTGAGAGGTAGCTATGTTTGCAGGGGCTCCCTGTTTATTAGCCTTATTAGGAGGAGTGGTGGGTAGGTACTAGGTAGTGGAAGAATTTGAGAGAAAAATGCAGTTTTTTTTTTTTGTTTTGTTTTAAATGAAGTAAAA